TTCTTTTCTTCTTCCTATTTTCTTCTTCTTCGTGTCCTTTCTTCTCCCTCCTTTATTCTTTTCTCCTTTCTTTGTTAAATCCTCCTCTTCTTCTTATCGAAATCGAATCGACTTCGGTTCGAATCCTCCCTCTTCCCCCCCCCCCGCACGCTTACTCCCCCCGCGATCCCCAAACCCGATCCCGATCCCAAGCCCGAGCTCCGCCGCTCCCGCCCACCTTCCCATCCCCCCCAACTGGTTCCCCTTGACCCCCCCCCCCGACTTACCCCGACTCAACCTGGATCTCCCCAAGTGACCGTTTTTTACCGTTAAGGTCTTTTTCTCTTTTTTTTTTTTTTTTTTTTTTTTTTTTTTTTTTTTTTTTTTTTTTTTTTTTGCCTCATTCCTCGCCTAACCACGTTCCCCCTCTTCCCCCCCCCCCGCACTCCCATACTATCTCACAACCCATCATGACGACCTCCACCATCCCCACCCCGCGTCCCACCTATTGCCAAGTCACCACCGGGGTCTACCCCGCAGTGCCACAACTTCCCCCCAACTACCTCCTTGACGAAAATAGCCAATTTGATTACACCTGCTACGACACTACCCTCGATAACCTTAAACCTCGCCCGGATCGTTTTCCGCAAAGGGGAAATCCCCCGTTCCTTTCGATCCGCTGACATCATGCCCTTCTCCGGCCTTCCCCACGAGGACGTTTTCCTCTTCCTTACCCAGCTCCAGAACTCTTTCAAGCTCTACCACATGCCCCTTGTCCACTGGCTTCCCATTGTCACTTCCCGCCTCCTCGGCAATGCCGCCAAATGGTGGATGGCCGAAGTCATCAACTGTCGCGCCTCTGGAGGACCACGTCACTACTTCCTCCAATGGGCCAACCTTCTCACTGCCACCTTCCGCCCCCAGAAAACCATCGATGACTACCTCGAACAATTATGTCACCTCTGCCAGACCGGTCCCACGGACCGCTTCGTCCAATACATCCGCTCCCTCCGTCATCACCTCCCCACCACCGTCATTCCTGACTTTGCGTTCATCTCCGGCATCAAGCGAGTATGCCACAAAGATCTTGCAACCGCCCTCGCCCACGAACCCGACATGCCCCTTGCCGACCTCCTCTCTCGCATGCTTCACCACGATCGACGACTCCACCCCCATCACCAGTCCGCACCCGCTCCCAGCCGCCCCCGCTTCTTCCATAACATCACCCTGACAACACCATTCCAGCCACCTTCGATGATGACTTCGACACTGCCTCTCTCGACCCCTCCCAATTCACCATTGAGGACTTTCAGGCTGCCCACCTTATGCGGATTGAACACCAAGATCGTGCCTCCCGACCGCCTTTTCCTCTCCGCTCCGCAGTCTCTAGAAACTTGCACCCACAAAACGCATATACCTTCAGGAACACAACGGGTGTTTTCGCTGCCGCCAGTTAGGTCACCAACAGACCAACTGCCCCAATGCTAACTGCTTTACTCGACAGGCCCCTCGCTCTGCGGGACCCGGCCCTTCCACTCCCACTTCTTCCTCCACCGCGGCAGTCGGGCCCTCCACCTGAACACTGTCCCCCTGTCTTTTGCAATCATCCCCCGACATCGACCACTTGTCTGCCGGCTCTCCCAACGGTGACGATCTCTCCTCCACCGGTGGCCCTTTTGGCATCGACTATCCGTCTGCCTACCCCCCTTTTGGTGACGCACATCCCATCGGACGACCCCCAGGCGACGCAGTCTACTCCGTTTGCCCCCCTCCTGACGACGTTTGCTATCCCGTCGGTCGAGCTTCCTATTCGCACCCACTCTTCTACTCTCATCCCTAACCCCTTCTCTACCACCTTCTCCGATCTCGTTGAGGAATAAGCACGACACGATCGACTTGTTAGATTAGGCTTGGAACAATGCCGCCTCAACACCATGATCTCTTTTGCTTGTGCCGGAACCGCATAGTTCCAGCTCAAGTTTATCTCCGTCCCCCTCGGTGCATGGACGGTGAAGTTCCGGGCCCTCCTTGATATTGGTGCCACCGACAACTTCATCATTGAAGCCTGTATTCGCAAAGCCGGCCTCTCCTCCACCGGCTATAACCCCCGATCACCATCCGACTAGGGGATAAGGACTCAAACATCGTTGTCGATCGCACTGTCCCCGAGACCCTCATGACTGCCGGTCCTTTTCGCAGTCAGGCCTCCTTCGATGTCATGCACCTCACGTGTGACATCGTCTTGGGGACTCCATGGCTTGACCGTTTCATGCTCTACTCCTTCCACCCCTCCTTCGTCTGACTCACCCGCACTCCTGACTCTCCTCTTGATATCCCTTACCTTCTCCCCCCTTCTACCCCACCCCCTGTCTCCCGTCACCAGTTCCTTCACATGTCTCGTGAACACTCCAAGTCCGTTTACTTTTGTCTTGTTATCGACCACGAGTGTTCCGGGGACTTGCTTCCAACGGACAAACCCGACCAAGACCCCCCTTCCGATCCTCACATCACCGCTCTCCTCTCTGAATTCAAGGACGTCTTCCCTGAGTCCTTGCCCTTCGGTTTACCTCCCAATCGAGGTGTATGCCACATCATTGATCTCGAGCCCGGGCATTTCCTCCTTGCCGCCCTCCGTACCAACTCTCCGTCCCCGAGGCCGAAGAAATGAAGTGCCAACTCAATGAGCTACTTGATTCATTAAGCCTAGCTCCTCCCCCTTTGGAACCAGATGTCTCTTCATCAAGAAGAATGGCACCTAAGAACTCCGCATGTGCACAGACTACCGTGCCTTGAACCGGATCACGATCAAGAACAAGTACCCACTCCCCCGGATATCTAAACTTCTTGATCGCCTTCGTGGAGCCGAATATTTCACCAAGGTCGACCTCCACAGTGGCTTCCACCAGATCGGTATCCGCGAGGAGGACACCCACGAGACCGCATTCCGCTCTCGGTTTGGGCACTACGAGTTCTTCGTAATGCCTTTCGGACTCACCAATGCCCCCGCCACATTCCAGTCCACCATGAACCACATCTTTCGTGACCTCCTCGAACTCTGTGTCGTTGTGTACCTTGACGACATCCTCATCTTTAGCCCCGCCTTAGAGTCCTACCTTCAGTACATTCGCCAAGTCCTCTCGATCCTTTAAGAGCAAAAATTCTACTCCAAGCTCAACAAATGTACGTTTGCCGCTTCGAGCGTCGAATACCTTGGCCACATTGTCTCCGCTGAAGGCATCCGTATGGACCCCTCGAAGGTCACAACCCTCGTCGAGTACCCCCCGCCCAAGACCCTCCTCCAACTCCGTTCCTTCCTCGGCCTTGCCAACTATTACTGCCCATTCATTCGCAACTTTTTCGAGATCTCTTACCCCCTCCACAAACTCACACGCAGGGACGAGCCCTTCAATTGGAGCGATCACTGCCAACACGTTTTTGACTTCCTCAAGCAGACCATCACCACGGCCCCTGTCCTCAAGATCGTCGACCCCACTCGCCATTTCCATGTCACCACTGATGCCTCCGAGTTCGCCATTGGAGCTGTACTGTCCCAACATTTCCCCGCGACACCGCCGAGACCACCTCCATCAAGGACTCGCCCACTCACCCCGAGGCTCCACCCGACAAATACCCCATCGCCTTCGCAAGCAAGAAGCTCCTTCCCGCGAAGATGAATTATCCCTCCAACGAGAAGGAACTCCTCGCTGTGATTCACGCCCTCACAGTCTGGTGCCCGTGCCTCGACGGGCAATACTTCACCATCCGCACTGACAACACCATCGTTTCTTCCATCCTCACCAAGAAAGACATCACCCCACGCCCAGCTCGATGGCTCGACTTCCTTGCCCAGTTCACATTCACCATTTGCCATACCCTCGACAACCGCGTTGCTGATACCCTCTCTCGACGATCCGACCACAAGCCCCTCGAGAAAGTCTACACGCCCAAGACCCATATCCAGCTCCTCCCATCACTCCATCATCGATACACCCAAGGCTACCTCTCTTGCCCAGACTTCGCCGCCATTTACCACAAGCTCCGCGATCTTGACCCAGTCCCCGACTGCTCCATCCACGACAACCTTCTCTACATCGACACCAAAGGCACTCGCCGACTATGCATCCTTGACACACGTGGTCTCTGCACCCAGCTCTTGGTCGAGCACCACGACGCCAAGACCACAGGTCACCTCGGTTTCCAGAAAACCTTCGAAACCAACTCCCACTACTTCTATTGGCCGTCTCTACTCGTCGACATCAAAACATACATTTGCTCATGTCGCACATGTCAGGCTGTCAATCCCTCGAACCGGGCCAAACCCGGCAAGCTCCAATCATTGCCCATCCCCACTCACCGGTGGCAGTCGATTGCCATGGACTTCGTGTGCGGTCTCCCTAAGACCGACCGCGGGCATGATTGCATCTACATCATTGTCTGCCGCCTGACCAAAGGCACCCACTTCATTCCTTGCACCACCTCGCACACCGCCAAAGACATGACCTTACTCTTCTTTTACCATGTTGCACGCCACGACGGCCTCCCCGAGAATATCATCAGCGACTGTGATCCCCGCTCCCTCTCACAGTTTTGGAAACAACTCTTCAACGCCTACGGAACTACACTCAAGTATAGCACTGCATTCCACCCACAGACCGATGGACAAACCGAGAAGATGAACGATACTCTCCAAAGAATCCTACGGAAGTACTGTCATCCACATCAACACAACTGGGATCAGTTGCTCACCGCTGCCGAGATCGCCAACAACAATGCTGTTTGTCCTTCCACTGGCATGTCTCCATTCTACCTTGACCTTGGCTACCATACGCGCTTGTCCTCTGATTTCTTGCTTCCCTCGTAACTCAACCCCTCCACACCCTGCCCTTCCCTCAATGAATGGGTAGCAACAATGAATCGACTCCTCAGAGAAGCAACCAAAGCCCTCGAAAGAACACAAGAACAACAAGCAAACAAGATCAACAAACACAAACGAGACTTGCAATTCAAAGTAGGGGACGAAGTCTGGCTGTCTGACAAACGCTTTGAACTCGAACATTGATTGTCAAAGAAACTCTCGGACAAATGGCTTGAAGAAATCATAGGTCGACGAACTACTCAGGTATCTGACCATCCGGAACCAATCACTGAATACAAAGTCAAATGGACCGGATACCCCAATGAAGAATCTACATGGAAACCTCTCTCGAATCTCAAGAATGCCATGAAACTTGTCTGCGCCTATGATCGTGCTACTCCTATGTCCTAGACATCCACGTAACTACAACCCTAAACCCCTGCATAAACCGTGCTACAACCTCGCAACCCCGTTCTACACACAACCTTGAACTCAGTCCACCCTCCCCTCGACCCCGATTCCTGATGTCTGAGCTTCCCTTGCCCTCGCCTAGCCTTGTCCCATATGTCCTCTCCACTACCTTGTCTCTCTTGTCCAATGCTTATGAACCTGCATGACGCGGGTGGTAAAGGATCTAATGGCAAGCGCACGAGGACGATGGCCTGCTGCCTCACTGTTCATGGAGATTATGCAGCTGGTTTGGCCACCATGCTGTTTCATCGGCCGGCATCCCGACTTGCGGACTTACTGGAGCAGCAACTTGTGACATGGATCTTTGCATCAGTCTGCGACTTCTTTGCTTCCAGATCARACCTCATTGCAGTTCGTGTACCGGATGCACCCTAGCACTTGGACTTTGGACGTTTGAACTACTGTTACGCTTCTTGGACTTCTACCTGTCGCAGCCGCTGAAGACCGCTTCTACCACCTACTCCAAGACCTGATCAAGACCGCTGCAGATCCCCTTTCAAGACACTTGGACACTTYGTTCCTACATGAGATTCTGCTTCCGACTCCTTCGGACACACCAGCCCTTGCCTCCTGAACAAACATTTTCATTTTTATTTTTTTTCCTGACTTTGACAACCGTGTAGAACATCATTAGCAGATCCTTGCTTCCCTGACCATTGTTCCCCTTACCTTCTAGAACATCAATAGAAATTCCCTGTTCCCCTGACCATTGTTTCCCTTACCCACTAGAACATCAATAGAAATTCCCTGTTCCCCTGACCATTGTTTCCCTTACCCACTAGAACATCAATAGAAATTCCCTGTTTCCCTGACCATTGTTCCCCTTACCCACTAGAACATCAATAGAAATACCCTGTTTTCCTGAACACGGTTTCCCTTACCCAGTAGAACATCAATAGAAATTCCCTGTTTTCCTGAACATCGTTTCCCCTACCCAGTAGAACATCAATAGAAAACCCCTGTTCCCTGAACATTGCTTAGCTTCCTCTATAGACCCACCCGGTTACATCATACCTTCACCTGTGCAGAGCACCAGACAGAATACTCTGTGACTTGCATCACTCCCCTTCTCCTTCGCTGACCAGTGATCGGCCCCGCCCCGTCCTTCACAGCTCCTTTTGTTTCCTTGGCTTTTTGGCAGCCGGGACGTTGCCTTTCAGAGGGAGGGGATAGTTTTACGGACTCCGCTAGGGCTCGATCCCTGGTCTATCTTTTTGCTATTTCTGCTGCATCCCATTTTCAGCCTGGCACCCTTTTTTCCAAACCCCTCCTTTGGTACCGTCGGATTTTGGACAACTGGCGCCATGCTGCAATTCGGGCGCCACTTTCACCGCATTTTTCAGTTCTGCCCTCGGGGCTTTTGCGGAAATGCCCCTGGTATCGCAGGGGTCACCGGTACTTATACCGGCTCCCCATACAGTACGGGGACCAGTCTCGGACCAGTTTTCAGTTGCTGTACTCGTACTCAGTGGGTGTGGCATACTGCGTAGCCACACGGGCCTGCAGGGCCCGTCCCGCATTCTCAGCCTAAAAGCATAGAAATAAGGGCTTACAGGCCCCTGTCGTTTCAGCCTGAAAACTGAAAACGAGGGCCTGCAGACCCTATTTCGTTTTCAGCCTAAAACAGGGCTTTTCAGCCCTGAGGCTTTTCAGCCTGAAACCGAGGGCCACTTTCGGGCTCTCATGAGATCGACCTACCCTAACACTCAGGCACAAAACCAGGGTTTCGGGAACAGGCTATCTTTAGCCTGTTCCCAAGACAGCCTCAAGCAGGAGCTGCAGCGGCAGCCCCTGACTCCCTCCGGCATTGGCAAGAGGAGCCTCCTGGACTGCCTCGCCCTGCAGTCAGGAGGCAGGCCGAGTAGTACATAGGGAGTTCCCATGCACTTCACGGGTAGGTAGTTGGACAGAAGGCAGGAGTAGTCTTTAGGATTCGGCCTCGCCCTGCACTCAGGAGGCAGGCCGAGTAGTACATAGGGAGTTCCCATGCACTTCACGGGTAGGTAGTTGGACAGAAGGCAGGAGTAGTCTTCAGGATTTCGGCCGCAGCACTCAGGAGGAGCGCTGCAGGATTAGCTTAGCGCTAGCAGTAGTCTTCAGCGCTGGGCGCTAGTAGCCATAGCAGTAGTCTTCAGCGCTGGGCGCTAGTAGGTGGTAGTAGTAGAGTTGGGAGAGATGGCTGGCGGAGGCCAGTGGGACTTACCTGTGACGCCATAGCTCCAGCTCCATCTTCGAGGTACCTGCATCAAGGCGCCAACTTCACAGGTTAGTACCGGACTGAGAGAGAGAAAGAGAGAGTTCTTCTTCTTCCTCTTCTAAGTCCACCATCTCTTCTTCCCCTCTCACCACCTGACTTCTCAGTATCAGCGGACTACTACAGAGAGA